CTCTTCCTCATTGCACTGGGAGTGGACGTGCTGTTCTGTCGCCGCCTGGCGCTGCCGGACCTCTTTGGTGGACCTGTCGGCCGCCTCTGCCGCAACCGCCTCTTCGTATGCCACAGCCCATGTCAGCGTTGGTTTTTCTGCGATGGTCTCATTTGCCGCTTGGTTTCTTTTGTAAAAGGCATGCCTGCAGGCAATTTCTGAAGGTTGCAGTGAGAAGTGAGCCTTCAGTTTCTTCGTGATGTCCGCAAAAGAGACGGTCTTCACCTCGGTCGGGGCCACCAACGACCTCGCAATGTCGAAGGTGTCCTTTCCACACGAGCTCTCTTTTGTAGAAGGCATGCCTGCAGGCAATTTCTGAAGGCTGCGGTGAGAAGTGAGCCTTCAGTTTCTTTGTGATGTCCGCAAAGGAGACGGTCTTCACCTCGGTCGGGGCCACCAACGACCTCGCAATGTCGAAGGTGTCCTTTCCACACGAGCTCAGGAGGCATGCTCGCTTCTTTGTCTCCTCGGTGATGTCGTGTGTCTCCAAATGGAACTCGAACCTGGCGAGGTAAGAGTCCCAATCTTCGGATGATGGTTCGAATGCCTCGAACTTCTGATTCCCAGCCATCGGGGGAGACTTGGGCACCGGGTCTGGTGGCGCCTCCGCTAGATCGGCTGCTGTGCTTTGCTCGCCTTCGTTCTGGGTCTGTGTGGGAATGTCTGCAGGACTGCCTACCTGCTCTAACATCCCACCTTCGTCGCCAATTGTTAGATCGCACTAACAAAGACCCGTAGAGTGATTTCAGCTAGTGATTCAGCTTTATTCGAACAAGCACACAAACGCATTTAGGAATCAGAACAACATAACATTGGAGCTGGGCTCCTTTTAAACATACCGGGCTAATATAGCCACGCCTACTATTTACATAACAACCAATCAGATTGCATAGATAAAGGCGAATCAGTGTCCTTCCCGCTCAGGGAACAGCTCTTCTGTGATTGGTCGCTGTTTTGAAGCAACCAATAGAATGTTCGCACTGACGGAGCCTTGGCCGGCTCGAAGCTCAACATGGGAAGTATATTGAGCGATTCATGTTATGCTGTTAATACATAACAGTAGCCATGTGTGTTCCTGCCCTCCATTGCATGTCCCCTTCCTAAGTTTTACTTGTGTGGATTCAAAAAATGGTATGTTCACCAAAGTAAAACTTATTTTCTTCCTGGTTCACAGTTTTCTCTTTCTCTTGGTTGTTTGTTACCTTAGGATATTTGTAGCTGTTTTCATATTCTACAAGTATGCGATTGTTTACCTGTGTGGTGAGAGATTCAAAATAAAAAGAAAAGTAATTTTAGAATGTAAAGCTGACAGATACACAACTGACTATGCATTCTGAGTAACCTTTTAACTACCTTGGCATAACCCATCTCATCTAAATAATGAGTAGAAGATAACTTAAGTCGTATACCTACTGTAGCATTCGAAAGAACGTGTATGACAAAAAGGTATTTCATATGCAAGGATGATTGAATGGTTTAGTACTTCACTCTTCTTCATCATATTGGGCCCACCTTTGTGGAGCAAACATAGAGCTGGACCCAAGGCCAGTTCTGTTAGTAGGAAGGGTGGGGTGATTTTCGCTGATTTCTTCCTCTTCGCACCCCCTAGTGTGCCCTCCATGGTATTCCTGAAGGTCTGTTGTCCCCCAGTGGCAGCATTTTGGGGAGATCAGTGGGAGATGGAGGAGGAGTAGCAGTTTCAAAACTAGTATTGCAAACTGGGTCCAGTATACAAGGAGCATTTTGAGCACAGATCAAGAACAGTCTTCTGGTTGCAACCAGGTTTCATAATGCTTAAACCCCACTGTAGGGGTGCCAACATCCAGGTGGGGCCTAGAGATCTGCCACAGTTACAGCTGATCTCCAGACTACAGAGATCAGTTCCCTGGAGACAATGGCAGCTTCAGAGGGTGGACTCTGTGGCATCACATAGCTATTGAGCTCCCCCCCCCCAACGCCCTGGCCAGCTCTGCCCACCACAGGCTCAGCCCCCAAATTGCCGAGAGTTTCCCAACCTGGAGTTGGCAACCCTACCCCCAACAGTCTGGTAGAGATCATGCAGATCAGGAGATTAACCTTTGGGATACCACATCCTTTTCCTTGAAGTCTGTCTAAAGTCTAACAGGTAGACTGCCTGGTCTCAAAAGTCAGTGGGGAATGGGATTTTTCTCCCCAGGAATCCCTGGCTCTTACGGTCTACAGGGCTATTCTCATAGGCAGCACCGCTGTGGCTTGCATTGGCTCTGGAACATTTGCAGGATTAGTAAACCCAGGAGAATTCACAACTTTTTATGGCTGCCTATTACCATCTGTTTAAAATGCTACAGGAGATGTCGGACTATTAATGTTTTTGTGCCATCTTGCTTTGATTGTTTAAATTGTTTAATTGTTTTTATATTACCGATTTTATTGTTATTTTATGTTATGTGCAGCCCCTGAGTCCACTTGTGGGATAGGGTGGGATATAAGTTCAATCAATCAATTGATAGATCACAGATAGATGATAGATGATGATGATGAAGAAATAGATAGATAGATAGATAGATAGATAGATAGATAGATAGATAGATAGATAGATAGATGCAACGGTCACCTCCAGATTAGACTACTGTAACTCGCTGCACACTGGCCTACCCAAGACTGACCCAGAAGCTCTAGCTGATCCCGAATGCAGCAGCACGAGTTTTGACGGGAGCATCACAGACGGCACATATTCAACTGGTGCTGTGCCAACTGCACTGGCTTCCAGTGGAATACCAAGTCAAGTTCAAGGTCTTGGTATTAACTGTTAGATCGCGCTAACAAAGGACTCGTACAGTGATTCAGCAAGTGATTCAGCTTTATTGGAAGTAACGAACAAGCACTAGCTCAGTAAGAAACCAGAACAGAAAACAGTGGGAGCTTA